TTTTATCATGGAAGTGTATGCCCAACGTGGTTTTACATCAAAACCAAGCCTACGTGCAAACATGGTCCTATTCACATATTTAATATGACTAAAAGAACATTACACCTACAGAAAAACTTGAAGGCCTTATAACTATAGTTATAAAGAATATTCAGCGATATATATATCGATCAGAGAACTAGCATTGCGAAAAATATTAAATGCGAGAAAAGAATCAAAATGTTCGAGATTACGGGAATTAAAGCTTCCACAACTAAATACTGAAGCATTACATTTTTACGAGTTAATTCACTGGGTGACAAAAAAAGTAACTGAACCACCTATGACTATGAAATACAATGACAGAAATTACCGATATGATTTCTTCGGGTGACCATTTCCTATAATTCCAAAAATTTCCGTGTCACACAGAACAAGAATTAAAGTCAGAAAAGAATTACCAAATTTTGATACCAAATGTCAGTATTTTCGGGAAAAAGAAGATCTCATTTCTACCAATCCTACACTCCTGAAGTTACTTAAAGTTTATGATTACGTTTCACGTTAATTTTACTAAAATAAACTTTTTATTTATTAATAAGGCTATTTTTATTACTTTGATTGAAGTCATATTTTTTTAGAATTTTCAAAACTTTGAGATTGATGCGCCACCTTAAGATATTAAAAAATTGGAATATTTTTTTGATATTTATTCATTTTACGCCTTTAGTCAACAGTTAATAATATAGGAAAAATTAATTAATAAATAAAAAAAATTCACTCCACCCTAGTGTACGAGTACATCCACGCCACGACAATCATTCTAACATATAAAATCCATGTTCAGCATCCTCTATTCACATACACGTAGTTGAAATAATTTTATTGTGCGTGTATACAAAATCATACACATGGCGCACTAGACCCAACTCGCGTGTATACTTTTTCATACACATGGCAGTTAACGTGTTAATAGAAAATATTTTTTTCTTCTAAAATCTTATGTAGGTACTTAAAATTGAAATTAAAAAAATAACTTTTAATAAAAATATTTTTTTTAATTTTAAAAGTTTCATAAAAAATCTAATTGTCTACCAAATTTTAATTATAGCATAAATATTATAGTTTCAGAGGTAACTGTTAAGTAAGTCATTTTTATATCTTAAAAGCTATAAAAATGGAAATTTTAGGATAAAATCGAAATTATCTAAATTATCTCTGAAACCACAATATTTATGCGATAATTAGTAGGGACCTTTTTTGTAAAAAATTAAATTTAGTAACAAAATTTATCAAAAAAAAAAATGTTTTACTCTTAAACAAAATATTTAAGTGCAGTTGGCGAACATAATTATGCTTAAGATGTTGACTGCATTTTTTTTCATTTGTTTATAATTTTTTTTGCACCTTTTATTTTTTGCTATTATAAAATTAATTTCGAAAAAAGCGAATATTCAACCCACTCTAACACACATTTATCAACTCATTTATCTTATTTCTAAGCTACTATATATTTATGGTGAAAATAAAGAAGGCATTTGATGAAATTCAAAAAAAAAATTAACAAAGAAAAACGCAACGCAAGGGGCTATAAAATGGCGTAATATTTTAAGATGTCAGTGCAATTCTTATGGATGGAGTCAATGTCTAATTATGCTTTTCTTTTATCGGCAAATACATTATTCCGGATAAAAATTTATAGAGACTTCTATCATTGAGTAAAGAAGTTTACTCAATGCTTCTATAGAAGTAACACAGTGCTAAATCATGGTTGATGGTTATCATATTGTTTTATTCGATTTTTGTTCTAAAAATCAGTCGTCCAGATCTTGAATTCTAAGCAATTTTCGGTTAGTATTTAATTTTGTGCATCCAACTTAACCCAAATCTTCGGTGGATAAATTATGATATGGGAATATTAAATTCCAATTTTGGATAAATCATTAATAATTGAATACGTCAATGCAGAAACTGAATATGTCCTACCTATCTAGTTTTGAGATAAATAAGAAAAACTGAACAGAAAGTGGACATGTTTTGGACATATTCAGTTTCTCTACTATATTAACGCCTTTGTATAATCTATAGATTACCGTGACATGTGAAATTTCTACGCCATTCGATCGGGCACCCTTTACTTATAGTAAATCCATGTTTAACTCAATATCCCTAAAAAGTGGACATATTCAGTTTCTGCATTGACCTATTCAATTTTAGTTTTATTGGCATCGGGGTCATTCCAGCGACAACCGTAATACCTGCTACAATTAATAAAAATATTATTAAAACAATATTTCATTAAATTAATAATATTTTACAGTATTAGAAATCTTTTTTATAGTTTGAAAGAGCTTTAATACTGTAAAATTGTATTAAATATTGTTTTAGAAATATTTTTTATTGTAATGGATGTCACAGGTGTCGCTGGAATGACCCATCCTTGGTTATCACGGATTTTGGTTGGCCAATATGTTGGTCATATGACCAATGATGCATTATTTACGACCAGCCTTAAAGCGCGTATGCGTAATACGCATTGCGTATGCCATTTATGGACTCTGCTACGGAATAAACAATCCTCTCAATAAACTTTTTTTGAAACGTTGCGGCAAAAGTTTTGCTAAGCTAAAAACATAACTTTTCGTTTTTTCACCGATGCATTATGGTCTAGATAGCGATTTTAGCGCGAATTATTTCAAAAAGTAGGCTATTCTCAAAATTGACTTATTTAGTGGCATTTGACAGTTCACAATATGCAACATCGTTATCACAAAAAATTAGAGCTTAGAAAAAGAAATCTTCCCTATAATTAATATTCGAAACGCAGACCCCCATAATTAGTAATAAGATTTTATTTTTATGTCCGTGCAATTTTTTGTTTACTGCGAGTTTGTTTATGAATGGATTTGGATAATTTTATGTTTCTACAATGGGTGAAGTCTCCCAAGGTAGGTTTTGAAATTATTTTTGGTTGTTATCCTATAGTTTTGTATAAATGATGTTTTTATTTTGGTACCACCACAAATTACTTATATTACTATCGTTCCTAAGGTTTTAAAAAATTGCAAAAGTTTGCAGATATAGTAATTACTTTTAAAAAGTAACTTAACTATATGACTTTATATTAAATATAAAATTAGGTCCTCCACATACATTCTGTATTTTTTATGAATTATTTTCAGTGGGCGAAAGGAACTTATTTTCAATTACGCGCAAGGAGCTTTTTGAAGAATGGTTAAAGTTAAAAGATTTAAAAAGAAATAATTGTTGTTATGCTTTGGAAACCTTCCTTCATTCTAAAAGGGATGTAAAAGGGCCATATATTCAGAATATATGTATAAAATTTGTTAAAAATATTGAATTCAAATGGAAAAGAAGTAACAACATTAAATCCAGATTTTTAAATTTAAATGAGGAGTGGTTATTGTCTACGATCAATTTAAAAGAATATGAAGAACCACTGCCAGGACCTTCAAAAGTTGGAAGACCTTTTAAATGCTTTAGCGAATGTGGTACAAGAGCTAAGCAAAATAAGGCAAGAGCATTAACAACAAGTTGTAGCACTAATGAACTGTCCTTTGCTGTTCAGATGAGTCTTAGAAAATGTGGAAAGCGAAATGCAGCAGTTATTGTAGGCCAAGTGACTGAAGAAAGTTCCCCAAAACGTGTGGCGAAATTAAAAAAGATATTGAGTGCAACAGAACTTGATAAATCCAAAGGTCTTACACCAGAGCAAGCCTTGTCGTTGATAATCAACACAAAATCTAGTAAGGCCACGTATTTGGCCTACAGAATGACAGCCAAAAGTTGTAACAATAACATATACCCATCTTGGAATAAAGTCTTGGCGGCAAAGTCTAAATGCTATCCTCATCCTGGACAAGTTATTGTTGAAGATATGGGCGTTGAAATTAATCTTCATGAACTTCTCAACTTGACAGCCCACCGCTTATGCACGTTACAAAAAGACGTATTAGAACTGTTTTTTGGGAAGCAACTTACTTTAGTATGTAAGTGGGGTCTGGATGGAAGTTCAGGACAGAGCAATTACAGACAAATGACAAATATTGGTAGTGGTGATTCATCTGTGCTCATTGCTTCCCTTGTTCCTGTGTTTTTACGAGATAGCCGGCAAGAAACAAAAATATTGTGGCAAAATCCCGTGCCTTCGTCAACAAGATTTTGCAGAGCAATTAAGTTCGTTTTCGCTAAAGAAACTCCCGAGTTAACTCGAAATATCACTGAAGGGATCCAGGCACAAATTGAGAAATTACAAAATTTTATTCATGGAAACATTTCTATCAGTTTTTACCTTGTTTTAACAATGGTAGACGGAAAAGTTTGCCACACCCTGACTGGAACTAAATCAACTCAAAGCTGTTATATATGTGGCGCTACACCGAAAGAAATGAACGCTTTAGATAAAGTCAAGAAAAAGTTTCCAAAAACAGAAAATTATTGTTTTGGTTTGTCAAGTCTGCATTCCTGGATTCGTTTTTTTGAGTGTTGCCTGCATGTGGGATATAGAATGGAAATTAAAAGTTGGCAAGCCAGGGGTGAAAATAGAACGAAAATGGAGACAAGAAAGAAGCTGATTTAAGACAAATTTAAAACAGAACTTGGAATTCTTGTTGACCAGCCTAAGCCTGGATATGGATCGACGAATACTGGAAACACTGCCAGGGCAGCAGAAATTACTGGATTTGACCAAGAAATTGTTCATAGATTCCATATATAATACTACAGACGATATCTTGTGGTTATGAAGTGGACCACGAAATGTTTAAAACTTATGCTATAGTAACGGCAAAAAAATGTATTTCTTTGTATCCTTGGTTTTATATGCCCACCAGCGTTCATAAGGTGCTGATTCATGGCTCAGAAATCATAAAGCACGCAGTTCTTCCAATTGGCCAGTTAGGAGAAGAAGCCCAAGAAGCGAAAAACAAGGACTTTAAATTTATTAGAGAACATCGCTGTAGAAAAGATTCAGCAAAACATACAAACGAAGATTTATTTAATTATTTTGTGTTATCCTCAGATCCCATTATATCACACTTATCGCTAAAAGATAACATGTCAAAAAACAAAATAAAACTTGATTCTGAAGTTTTAAATATGCTAAAAGCTCCTCCAAAATCATTTAGTGTAGGCTCAGTTTCGTCTGATTCGGACTCTGATTAATTCTTTGTCTATTGTTTTGAAGTTTAGTTGGGTTATTTTTTGTTTCTGTGTGTGTTTATTTTTTTAATTTATAATAAAATAATGCTAACATATTACTTTATCGTAGCAACTACAAGTCAATTCAACGGTGCTTCTAATTAATTCGCGCTAAAATTGCTTTCTAGACCACTGTGCGATGGCACAAAGGACCAACGCATTAATAGATGCTGTTTTAAAAAAATTTTGAGTACATTGAAATTTACCTTGTATAAGACAGATCGATATTAACAGGAAATAATAAAATTGATTTCTTTATTGAATCATGTTATTTGGTGAATGTCAATTATGTTATAATATATAATATAGATATAATATCGGCCAAATCGCCAAGGCACACCTTTAATTGATGGTCCAAATTTTTGATGACATATCTGCATAATTGCTATTCAATCCCACCAATATGCCTCATCGTTTAGCTGTTGAGAGAAGTCCAAAGGCACGATCTTGGTAGGATGTGGTACCATCCTGTTAAAACCACAAATCTTCGGCATCGATAGCATTCAATTTAGGCCATAAGCGTTGCTGATAAACTAAATATTCATCAGGAAATGATTGAAACATTTGCAGAAGGCTATGTAGGTACAAAAGAAGCTTATAGTTTGGGTGCCACATGATTGAGTAAACAATTTAATGGACTAAATTTTGTTCTGTTAATATCAAAAACTGAGAAAGCTTGATTGTTAAGTATAGCGTGAGCCTGGTTCATTTGGTTCAATTTTTTTATCCAGAAACCTCAAACCTTATGAGTCAGAAATCCTTCACCAAAAAATTGCAAAAAAATGGCAAAATATTTGGTTTAATAAAGGCTATTTAAAATAAATCGAGATATTTTTTGAGTAGGTATCTTATACATTAAATCTTTTTTCACGGCGGTTTTTCCTGTACTTAAAATAACATAATATGGATGTAATGCGTTTTAGACAGTGTATATAGTTTAAGTAATATAAATGTATTATAGTTAAAATAAACGTGGGTGAACTACAAAAAACTTTAATGTAAATTATGAAGTTTCATGACATGAAAAATATGTTTAGATAATGTTAAAATTTAATTCATTGTTTATCATTTCTTTGAAAATTTATAAACTCAATATACGATTGTTATTATTAATTAATATACATCTGTTATCCGTGTTATATATTGTTTAAATTCCAAGCGAAGTTAAACCTAAAAGTGAAATGGGCTGAATTTTGTTCATTATTTTGAATGTTTTTATTTATAGTGTTATTTACCAAATAATAATAAATATAAAATGGCATTATGTCAGTGGTGTAAAAATAAACAGCATGTCCCATTTCAATTGTTTTATTTTTGTAAATATTTCGAAAACTCTGTAGCTATAAGCCGCGGACCCGGGCCACCAAAGCTACGGGCCCTGTGAAATGTTTCCTGGCACTTACCCATGGTTGTGTATATGGTACTGCAATAGACCATGGCATTCCACACAGTCCATATTTTGTCGCCCCGATTAGCAACGATGAGGGCATGTTTTGAATAAGCGTCTGTCACTTTGGACTCGAAGTCCATCAGTCTGCGCGCAGCCTCGCCCTCCCACTCGTCTTCCGAGGTCAAACTGGGCATCTGTATCGACAAATTTCGCAGTTCTTTTATTAAACTATAACGTTCTCTGCGTATATCACCTTCCACTATTTTTTCTTCATTAGCACCTACAACAACAAAAACATCATAAAATACGTTCAATGTTCAAATGAACATAGAAATCTATTCTGCTGTCCTGATTTAAAAAGTGGGTATCTAGCATTCAAAGTTAAACCGAAAAATTAAGCAAAACGTTTTTGTACTTGGTCTGTTCACTGCAGTGCTCTAGTATGGTGTATTATTTATCAAATGATATTTATATATTTATTTATTTATATTATATGTGGGTTGTGGTCGCAGAAAGGAGGGTGGTTTTAAGGGTTTGTAGGATGTCTCTTTCTTTCAGAGTTTTCACCTGCAAATTATAAGTTAAATGTCGTTTGGGTTGCGGTTATTGTTGTTGCTCTATCCAAATATATATCATTATTGTTTGTTATAAATTTTAAATATTTTATACGTTTAACTCTCTTCCATAATCTCTCATTTAGGAAGGTTTTATAAGCGATATTTATATAAAAAAGGGAGCCTTCCAGGTGTTTGACCTGAGTTCAAACGTAATTTATTGTCTTTTATTTATTTCTCCTCCATATGGGGCAACGAAAATGTTTTTCCCATTAGAGAAGTAACCTCTTGAAACCGTAACAGCTTTTTAAATCAAAGAAACCTGGCTACAACAATATAGCGTCAACAGGATACGACATTTTCATTACGCTTTATGAAGAAAAAAGTAACAAAACAGATTTGGATTATTTTTTATTGAAGCATTTCTCGTGGATAAATCGTGAAAATCAAATCCGATCTCGCTAATTTACCACCTACAGAATCGGGGCTGAACACCATTCTTTTTTAACATTTTATCCGGTGCAGGCATGGTTGGCAAATGTTTTTGATCCAGAATTGGGGGAGCTTAAGCCAAATATGACCTCTCAGTCAGGAGGACCAAAACCATCATCACTTGTCGACATCGTTTCGTGCTGGTGTACGAATCAATGCGGCGCAAAGTGCGGCTGTCGAATGGCCGGGTTAAAATGTTTCGCAGTTTGAAATTTTTTTTGCATAAAACTATGTTTAAACTTTAGATAGATTGCTATTGACTCTGACAAAGAGATATGTATGATCTACCAACCATGGTTTCTCTAACAAGATACAGCGAATCTGAAAAAGCCCTACCACACGACACTTTCACTAAAAAAAATCCCAGTCAGACGATCATAGAAGAAATAAATATATTTTGATGTGGATTAGACCTACGGGGGCCGAGATATTTGCTAAAAACTAAAAAAATGTATTTTTGGGTATACCGCGGCACTCAATATCAGGTCATTTTTCACCACGATTTGACTGGACTAATTATATTTACTATTATTATTAATATTGATAATTAAAAAAAAATACATAGTTAAGTTCGCCTTTTAATAATGAATTTACCACTATAAAAAACTCATTTTTGATTCAAAATGTACATATACCCACTTTTTAATCAGGACGCCAGTATATTGGTTGGTTTTAAACTTAAATTATTAATAATTCTAAAAAATAGTCAATTTTTTAGTAGGTACCTATTTATAATCTTTTATTTCTCAGTTTTGTGTTATATTTTATAATTTATTCTTTTTTTGTAATTGTTTTGGTTTTAAAAAATATTAAATATCAAGTTAACTTATAACAGACCATAATATATTATAATTATTGAACTTTTAAAATAGACCAATCATTCGTTCGGTAAGCAATTGGCAAGATGCAGGCCTACCTTGACCGTAACTCATAATTTTTCTCTTTAACATGATTAATGATTAGTGACACAATTTTTAAATGGGTCAAGTTAAGGTTCCGCTGTTTATTAATAACATATTTTTGTCTCTAATTAATAAATACTGTTTTCTACGACCACTATGTAAAAGTCACATTTCGTAATGGCATCGTTGCTTAGAAAATTAATCCTTTCATTGTCAAGGCAAAACACGAATGTAAAGTGACATTTCTGTGTGAAAAGTGACAGGTCTGTGTGAAAAGAAATTGACAGCATCGTTTGACATTCGTTTTAAAATTTGTATTGTATTTGTATATGTATGTCTAAATATCATTTAGAACACAATTAATTAATACATTCCAATTTTAGTGCCTTTCTTTAAATTGAAAAGGGAAGTTTATTGATTTTAAGTAACTTTTAACTTAAAAATTAGATGAAAGTAATTTTAACAGCGTTCAAACACGTTTTTAGGTTATTTTGTTTTTTATTTAAATATAATAAAAAATAAAAGGGTCGTAGAAAAAACATTGTGTTTCACTTGTGAGAAAAGCGTCCTTCAAGCTCGTGTATGGAACGCCAAAGTATTTTATACTATATGCTATTTAGATGAACAATTAATATATGTCGTATATTTCAAAGAAACCATTATGTGGGTACTATTTATTTACAATTTCAAAAATGCCTCGAAAGCTTTAACCTTAATTTTTATTTACCTACATTTTCAACTAAACTATAATAATGAAGTGACTGTTTTTATTTCTATATTTAAAATAACGACAGAGCATCGAATTTTTTATTATATAAAATAAAATTAATTATATTTTTTATCAAGTTATTTCAGAACATCATAGCATTTTTGTAATTACAGACATTACTTGGCATCGAATTATTTAACGGTGTTAAATTAAGTAGGTACCTACCACAGTAAGTATACCTACTATATACCTACCTAAACTCGGAAATCGGGTGTTATTTTTGAGGATGAAAATATATTTTTATTATAATAAATCTGAAAATAATTAAAATGACACCACACCAGAATAATGCTTCTTTCTATTTCGCTTAATTTTTATTAAAACTATTAAAAATGTATTTAAATTATTTTACAGGTTAATAAAAATTTATTTTATTATTTACAATTCAATTGAGTTCCCCTGGAAACATCACTTGAATTTTTAATTTATAAATTGTCTGAATTTCTATGTTGAAAAATACTTCAATTTCAAACTTGGAAATTCATTGAATTTTAAACTTGGAAATTCATTGATTTACCAATATCAAACCTCATACTCCCCTCACTAGACTATACCCCTCTCAGGAATCCCATCTCTAAAGATAGTTCTAATGACCCGTGTTTGTCTTAGGTTAGTTTGTTGTTTACTTTTTCTGTGGTTTCGAATGTTGACATCAGATACTTTAGTTGATATTAACTAAAACAGGGGACTTGCAGGTTATATACACGGAGGTATACGTATACGGTATACAAGTATTCGGTATATAGGAATAGTCTGTTCGTTGATGCTACACCAACCTACACTGGTGTACGCTAGTGTACTTTTCGACAAGCAGATTTAAAATATTGCTGCACTAAAGCCTGATTCATAGATTGCCTTCCTTCCTTCCTTCCTTCCTTCCTTCCTCCCGTAAAATATAAACAATATAAAAACCTGTTTTTCCGTACGGGAATCTATACATGGCACTGCGATTTTCGCATTGTTAATCTTTTACGGGAGAAAGGAAGGAAGGCAATCTATGAAACAGGCTTAACATACACCCGTGTAGATTATGATAAAATTTCGGAAGATTTAAACAACAGGTAATAAAAATATTTTAAGAATATTTTCAAAATTATTCTCACGCTATTTTTTATTTTATCTACGATAGTCGGAGTTGGTTTCCTTTTATTAACAGTTTTAGTGCAAAAATCTGAACGAAAAAAATCAAACCAAATTACATATACCTATAACTATAAGTTATAGGCACAGGTCTGTGGTTATAGGTATATGCCAAATTATAAATCAGGCACTATTTTATAATTATAAATCAGGCACTATTTTATTGATACATCGTATATCTGGCAACACTGCGCGGGTCATGAGAACTACCGTTAGACTCTAACGGTTAGAGATGGGAGTTTGACGTTTGATATTGGTAATTAAATGAATTTATAAGTTTAAAATTCAAGCATTTTTCAATATATAAATTTAGGCAATTTCTAAATTAAAAATTCAAGTGGTGATTCCAGTAGCACTCAAGAGGATTGTAAATGTAGAATTTAAGACGCAAAATTATTTGAAAACATTTTTTATAAAAAAATAAGTATTGTTTAAATTAAAATAGAGGTCTTAAAGAATATTTCCAGTCATAATAATATCTATAATATAATTTTAAAATTAAAAAATAATATAATGTACATTAAAAACAAACATTTAAAATTTTTAAAAATAGGTACCATATACGTATATGGTGCCTTATTCATTTCACATAGGTATAATTATATTTATATACATTTTAATGTCGCAGTTCCTATTTCAGTGAATTTAAAATCAAAGTTGTTAATTTAAAAAACAATAATTTTTCAAGCTTAAATTAATGTAATCGCGAGTATGACATAATTTTACAAAATGAAAAACATAACCCATGCATGTTTTCCGAACTTGCATTTTATTATTGCACTCTGATAACTGAAATTCGGACCATTTGTAAATTATATGGAAAATGTGTATTATTTATTACAGAAAAACAATTGTTAAAAATAATTTTGTATTGCGTTAAAGGTTCAAAAAATATATTTTATTATAAAGAATATTAAAATAATTTTCAGATTTTTATTTCAAAATCATTTCTAATTGCAAAAATTAGACCAATTTCTTATTCAACCAATTTGAATTTATTATTTTTCTTTTAAATTATTAATTTTTTTACATCATTTTGCTTTTGCCTTTGATATTTAAAATTCCCCATATTTTTGAATTATCATTTTAAAATATTGCACCAAAGGTTCTGCCATTAATTTATAATTTAAAATTAGAGCAAAAATCTCTTAAAAGATGGGATTTGTGACCTCTTCCCCTATACAAAAAGGTATAAACACAGTAAAACAAAATTTTTAATTCAGTAAATTAAAAATTAAACGTTACTTTTCAAATCATCCAATTTATATTTAAAAAGTTGCAATTTGCTAATAAAAGCAATATTTAATTTTGGTTAAACTTGGATGCGTTTTCATAATTTTCAAATTAAAAAATGCAGAAAATATAACATTCACTATTAATTTGTAAATGTATTTTTTATTTTATAGTTAATATTAAAATGCAG